AAGACTAGCCAGGTTTCAAGTTCTACATACCCACATGTAGTTAGTGGCTACTTAGAATCCGTTGAACTGCTTGAGTCTACTTCATCTCAAAGCCTAGACCGTGCCTCATTACCCAGGCATTCAGTAATGTCTTGCTGCATAGAATATCATGTGTTTTGGACAAAAACAAAACAAAATAACAAAAACAAAAACAAAACAAAAAAATCAGAAGTTGTTTTTTAGATCATCCTTTCTTGGAAGTTGGTGGGGCAAGGTAGGGTGAATGCTAGAGTTAATTGGATAAATTTTTCAAAACAACTTCATGTGCTGCCTAAAGTTATTATTATTAAAGTTATTACCAGTACTTGGTAAAAGTCAGTTACTTCAGTAGTCCAATTTAAAATATTTGTTTAAAAATTGATGCATTATAAGAAGTAACTAGTAGGTTATTCTTTAGCAATTATTTCATAGAATTTTAGTTCAAATCTTAGTTTTAAAACAAGAAGAGTATTAGTCAAGAATACAAAGTTCCACACATGCAGGGTGAATAAGGCTTAGAGATCTGCTGTACAGGGTCATGCCTATAGTTAACAATACTGCATTGTCTACTTAAAAATTTACTAAGAGAACAAATCTCATGCATGGGTGTGTGCTATAAAGAAAGAGGGTGGGAAAAGCCATTGGAGTTGACGGACATGATCATGGCATAGATCGTGGTAATGATGTCACAGGTATAGTCTTATCTCCAAACTCATCAGGTTATGTTCTTTAAATATGTACACCTTTTTTTTTTCAACCACACCTCAATCAATTGAATATTTGAAAAGAAAGAAAAGTAAGAAAACCTAATAGATTCAACTGACAAATACAAAATAAGAGGGGAAGAAAGGCTTCATTTCTAATCCCTGCCCTGTTATTGTTCCCAGTGGGACATGGAACAAGTCATTTAACCTCTTTACACCTTAATTTTCTATTTATAAACTGAGGATTTTATCCATCATGCCTGTCTTCATGGGTTACATGAGATTACGTATTGATAGTCTTAATATAGTGTGCCAAAGAGAATAATTGCTTAATAAATGGCAGTAATTATCATTATTGTGATGTAATAGAAATTGAACTTTACATATTAAGATCCTATGATTTTCATTTTAAACATTTTAGTTTATATGCTTCTACATTTCATTTTCATCACATATATTGGTTAAAATTTTCTTACAGATCTGAATTTGAAGTTTGCTACATAACCACTTTCAGGCTAATCTTTCTGGTTCTCAGGATGGTCAGATAGGAACTGAGGTAAAAATAATATATACCTAAGTGGTCTTTTCCTTTTTGGTCCATCTTTTGCCCACCTCTTTGTGTATCTATGAAAACTAGGATTTGGATTTCAAATATGGGTATGAAGTTCTGCCTCATCTCTTGGCCTGCTTGTTTCCATTTCTTTCAAAACAAATTTGGTAGTAATTTGGTATTCATTGAAGACAGAGGTTCTATGTATTCTGTAGGAGTGTTCCATCCTTCCAGAACTATATGGTGCCATTCACTGAAGTGCCATTGGCCTTCAGTTCACTTGAGTTTATGTTCAAATTAGTCAGAACTGTTAGCTTGACCTCTCTATGTATGTTTTTTAATGATTTATTTAGCATCTCTTTATTACTTCAGAAATAAGTTGTGAAGCAATTCAGAAATGAGTTGTGAAGCAATGTGTAGATGCCATAAAATGACTATTTTTTTAATTTAGTTTTTGGTGAATCTGAAATTTCCTTGCAAAGACATATAAGATGATTAGGTCATAGTCCACATAATACTTGAATCAATTACAATATTCTAACAATACTTTGTCAGAAATATTGGTCAAAAACATCCTCTTTTCTCCCCATGACTCCTGTCTGAATTTAGACCTTCACCACCTTCCACTGAGGTATTGAGTGATTCACTTAATAAACATTTAGGGAGCATCCAGTCAAGGCTGGGATGTAATGATGTATGTCTAGGGCCAATGCCATCTCTGCATTCATGGAACTTCTATTCTCTCTCATTGCAGGAGACTCTTGCCTATACTTCAGCCTTCACTTTGTTCCCTCACACACTGTCTTCGAGGGCAGCACTACTCAGTTTATCATCCCCCAAAACCAAAGCCGAATGTTCTCTCTGATAAGTGGATGCTGACCCATAATGAGGGGGGGGGGGCATGGAGAGAATGAAGGAACTTTGGGCAAAAGGGGAGGAAGGGAAGGGGAGTGGGTATGGAGGTAGGAAAGATGGTAGAATGAAATGAACATGATTACCCTAGGTATATAATATATGACTGCACATATGGTGCAACTCTACATCATGTACAACCAGAGAAATGAAAAGTTGTGCTACAATTGTATACCATGAGTTGAAATGCATTCTACTATCATGTATAACTAATTAGAACAAATAAAAAATTCATATTATATACACGTATATTATATACATTATACATTAAAATATATATTATATTTTATATATTTATAATATTTATAATATATA